GGACAATCTCAGTAGCTTATCACATTAACATAAAACCCAACATCACCCTAACGGGATGCAGCCAGGACATTGGGTGGAGGCGGGAATTATCACACCAGGCAACTGCATCTTGGGTCCCAGCTGTGATCAGCTGGTCTGTTTTCAAAGTCAGGAGCTTTCCGTTTTCTAAAAAGGGCTGGCTGAGCATGACTGGGACCCAGGATGCAGTCACTTGGAAGAATTGGTGGAGAATTACATTGTGATAATTCCCATCTCCATCCAGCTTCCTGGCTGCAACCCGTTAGGTGATGTCAGGTTTTATGTTAATGCAATAAGTCAATCCTCTGTCATCCTACTTTTCCAGCAGCTTTTGAAATGTCCCAATTTACCCCTCCCCCTATCCCCTTTCATCCTCAGCTTACTTTAGTTGTTTCAAACTGATTTCAAGTGCAAAAGTAGTTTGCATTCAATTGAGTTGGTAGGAAGAGATGGAGAGGGTGAAATCTTGCTCATCCCAATTGACTCAAACAAAAGCAAACTGCTTCAGTCTCTCATAGCTTGTGCATTCTTCATTAATAACTTTTGACATCTTGACCATGCTCTGGTGTTGGCCGGCCACATGTGTTCCCGTTTTCATCTGGGAAAAGTTGGAGAGCATGTCACAACAAATTAGATAGAGAAGTGAAATTATGAATTTGGGGTGAGGGGAAATCAACTGCCTGAGCCCAGCTGAATAACAGCAGATATTCATACTATACTTCCCACCCTGAAAATAAATAGGAAAACCTACTTGCACATCAGGCCAAGAATGGAAATTGCAGTATACTTCCACTCATTTGGAGTAGGATAAGGAAAATGTTGACAGAACTGGAGAGAGTAATAATAAGATAGGAAAAGCCACAAAACAGTAATCCTGTAGTACCCTCTTCAACTACTTGGGAGGAAGCAAATTTGGGGTGCTTCTACACTGCAGAAATAAAGCAGTTTAACACTGCTTTAACTTCTATGATTCAATGCAATGGAATTCTGGGATTTGTAGTTTTGTGAGATATTTAACCTTTCCTGTCAAAGTGCTCTGGTGCTGCACCAAATTACAAATCCCAGAATCCCATAGCATTGAACCATGGAGGTTAAAGTGGTTTCAAATTGCTTTATTGTTGCGGCCCTGAGATCTCAGAGTTCTAGTTAGGATTGCTTTGCCTAACAAATACCCACATTTATATTATCAATAGCTAGGCCATTTTCTGGATGTCAAAATGTCTTATAGACAGATGTCACAAAATACAACAATTCTCCTACTTGCTGGTATCAAGAGTTTCTGTAACAATAACAACTCATGTCTCAAAAATCCTGGTCCAGATGTCCATAACTTCTTCCCAGAAGATGGAAGGACGGCATTCTTTCCTCTTCCCAAAGGCAACACAGAGAAAGGGTAAAATATGAACAAAGAAGCCTTGAGCCAAGCTGTTCAAAATTTGAAATTAATCTCCTAAGCTAGGCCTAAATTCCACAGCCTTTAGTGGCAAGAATCCCCACATCCCACCATTCCCACTAAAAAGAAAAATATTCAGAGTTCACAAAGGCCCCAGCTTCTATTAAAGGGCCATACATGGAGATCATGGTTATAGATGAAGCAGACAAACTCACCTAGGGGAGAGGCAGAAGAATTATAGGGGAAATGTTATATATTCAAGCATGCGAGATAAATGTGCCATATGCGCAGGTCTGAGATCAAATATGGAGTCTGTAGGTCAAAAGTGGAGAACCTTAGGCCCTGGGGAGAAATTCAGTTCTCCTGGGATTCCAATCTAGTCCTATAGGATTCCCCAGAGAGTTGCTCCCAGTTTCTTTTTTCCTCCTCCCACTTTGCCTCTTTATCCTCAGTTTACTCAGCAAAATGAGTTCAAAGAGCAAACTTAGGGCCTTTGCAGGCTGCCAGAACTATTTTCTGAGGTGTGCAGTCTGTATCTAACTGAATAATGGGTGACACAAATCTTTGTCTAAAGTGAGGAATAAATGGGGCAGAACATCAAATAATGAACAATATCCTCTATATGATTACAACAGAATACACCTTTTCTATCTATAACTGGGGTGCTTCTATATCTCCCTTTAAGAAGGCATCTGCTGAAATCTTAGTTCTGTGAAAGGCCTTCATAGTTGGGGAAAGGTCAGGGTTTCAAAGTATTGTGGCTTTGCATGGTTGATTTGTATCTGTGGGTACCAGACAGAGAATTGTGCCCCAACTATGGTTGCTCTATCTTGGTTAGCATCATGATCAAAAACCCAGTTCTTAAAGTCACGAGAACTAAGCCTGAGATACTTTTGTACATTGAGGTTATAAACATTTAACTTATCTTGAGACAATTGTGCCCATCAACCAACCATAAGTTCCTCCAACCAACAGAGTTCGCTGAGGGAATGGTCTTCAAGTCTATTTAGTCTGAGCCAGAATCTCAAATAAGATAAATCAATTCAAGCTGCTATTGAGGGGAGACCCAACAGTCTTAAGGTGAGATAGCTCAAATATGCTTGTTACAGAGTTGTTGTTGTTGTTGTTGTTGGGTGCCTTCTAGTCATTTCTGACTTATGGCCACCCTAAGGTGAACCTAGAGCAATGTTTTCTTGGCAAGATTTGTTCAGAGAGGATTTGTCCTTGCATTCCTCTGAGGCTGAGAATGTGCCTTTCCTAAGATCACTCAGTGGGTTTTCATAGCTGACCAGAAATTTGAACCCTGGTCTCCCAGTGTCCTCGTCAAACCACTACACCATGCTGGCTTTTGTACCTTATAGATGTATGTATATAAATATTTCCTTAGTTGTTTCTAACTAAAACCCAATCTGCTGCATGGATCTAAAAGTGCAATCCTACTCAGAAGCAGGTCCCACTAAATACAATGAGGCTCAGTACCATGAAAGCATACAATAGGATTCTAGCTTGAAAGCCATTCACCCCAGATTAAGACCCACATATAGTTGGATATATCGTAGAATTTATGTTGTTTTTAGTTTCCTCTCTGTTATTTACTGCCATTGGAATTACATAGACCATCTCTCCATGCTAGGCAGAAGGGTGACATTTTAAAAGAGGCAATCATATTTGCTCTCTTCAGTTGTATATGCAGCTTACTAAAGTATTGAAATGTTAATAATCCTCGGCAAGAAACAAATAACATAGCTCACATTAGGGAACATTTTTCATGTTGAAAACTCAAAACACTTGGCAATGAAATATCCTACTGAGCATCTGTGAAGTTTCTGGCCAGGATCCAAACAATGGCACAACTAGTTCCACAGGACTCCCCACGGGGGTCTTTGTGCCTCTGTTTCTCAAACAGGAACCACCACCCTCCCTGTGCTATGCTACAAGCTACTTCTGAAATAGAGGGGACTTTCAAAAGCACTGTGTCATATGGCATGGGAGTCTTGATGTTCATTGTGGGGGGGGGGAGTGTGAAAAAATCTTATTGTTAATGCCTGGATCCTTGACTATGGCCTAATCTAGCACCCTGGGTCCTAGCCTCTGTTTATAATGGTGGCAGGAGTGGTATTAATTGCCCATGCCCCACAAGTACATTTATTCCATGTCCCAGGGTCCTTTCACACTACAGAATTATAGAGCTATGAATCCACTTTAACTGCCATGGTTCAAAGTCTATGGAATCCTGGAATTTATAGTCTGGTGAGGCACTATGGCTCTATGGCTGAGAATTCTCGAATGCCCCTCCCTAAACCGCCTATCCCAGGATTCCATAGGATGGTACGATGGCAGTTAATGTGGAATCATAACAATATAATTGTGTAGTATGAAAAGTCCAATAAAATGGACTTCTTTTTCCGAGGGTAGTGGTTGAACTTAAAGAGCCAGTGTGGCATAGTGGTTTGAGAGTTGGAGATCAGGGTTCGAGTCGCAGCTTGGCCATAAAACTCACTGGGTGACCATGAATGAATCACACACTCTCAACCTCAGGAGAAGGCAATGGCAAACCTCCTCTGAACAAATCTTGCCAAGAAAACCCCATGATAGGTTTGTCTTAGGGTCACTATAAACTATAAACTAAACTAAAACTGCTACAGGATTCCTTTCTATCTTTTTATGCTGAAACAGACTGACACAGATATGTCTTTGAAATTGTTTTTAAAAGTTGTGGCATACAGGGAGAAAGTATTTTTCTTTTTGGGGAACATGTTTTCTAAAGCTTATACAGGATTTCCAAGACTTAAAGAGATATCTGCATAGATAGACAAATATAGTAGTTTTATACTATAGTGGGCTCTTGGAGTCCTCTGAGGTTTGGTTCCAAGACCTCTTATGGATACCAAAATCAGTGGATGCTCAATTCCCATTATATACAATAGCATAGTAAAATGGTGTCCCTTATATAAATTAGCAAAATCAGTGTTTGCTTTTTGGAATGTATATATTTTTGTAACGTTTTCAAGCCATGGAGAGTTGAATCCATGGATAAAGAATCTGGAGATATGGAGGGCTGACTGTACTTTAATAGTCATGTCTCCATCCTAGGGAATACTGAGATTTATAGTTTGGTGAAATTACTTAGGGCCCTATCACACAGAGCTATATTCCACTTTAACTACCACGGCAACATCCTGTGGGATTCTGGGATTTAGTGAGGCCCAAGCGCTCTCTGCCTGAGAATTCAAAATGTCCTTCCCTAAACTACAAACCCCAGGATTTCATAGGATGTGACCATGTCAGTTAAAGTAGAAAATAAAGTATATATAACACTATAACAGTGTCTTGTGATAGGGCTTTTAGCATTCTCCATTTGAGAGCTCTAGTGTGGAGGTTCACAATCTTTGGATCTCCAGCTGCAGAGAACGTGGCTTAGGAAATACACTTTTTTGACCTCAGAAAAGTCCCAGAAACCAAGCAATGCAGGCAGTTGTGTTGGTGGTTGTGACTGTGTGCCTTCAAGTTATTTTTGACTTATGGGGACTCTAAGATGAACCTATCATGGTGTTTTCTTGGCAAATTTCTTCAGAGGGTGTTTGCCATTGCCAGGATGGTGCAGTGGTTTGAATGTTTGACTCTAACTTGGGGGACTAGGGTTCGAATCCTTGCTCAGCCATAGAAACCCACTGGGTGACCTTGGGCAAATCACATTCTCTCAGCCTCAGAGGATGGCAATTCAGGCAGGGGAATGGCAAAACTGCTTGTGATCTCTCACAGACAGTTTTCCTGGTCCCTCACAGAGTGCTTTTGCTCCAGTAGGCTTTCAAAACAATAGTCAGGATCTGTGTTGCCCCCCTTTTCCTTGGCAGCATGCAAGTGGAGCTGCTAGAAGGAAAGGAGCACAGCTGTCATTTTCCTCATTAGCCCCCCACCTCCTTCCATGGCAGGGACTGTGGGGAAGGGCAGACAGCCTGTGGCATCCTAGATCAGCTGGCAAACAAGTAATTTTGCCCTCTCACCCTGGCTTAGCTCCCTCCTTGTACACTTTAATACAAATATTAAACTCAGGCTAGGTTGGTTTGTACACATGACAGGGCTTTCTCTGTAGCTGCACCCCAGTTGTAGAACTCTCTGCCAAAGGAATTCAAAGACCTGGCTGTGTTAGGGTCTTTGCAGAGTACCAGAAATAGTGCAAATTGAGTCCACTTTAAGGGTTAGGGTTAGTGCTAGGGAATCATGGGAATTTTTTTCTGAGACATTGAGCCTTCTCTGTCAGAGAGCTCTGGTGCCACAATAAAATACAGTTCCCATGATTCCCTAACCCTAACCCTAAAGTGGACTCAATTTGCACTATTTCTGGCAGTCTGCCAAGGCCCTTTGTCTGGAAAATTAGTATGCAAAGGGATCTTGCAGCAGCTTTGAGACTAAATAGGGTGTAGTGGTTTGAGTATTGAGCTGTGATTCTGGAGACCAGGCTTTGATTCCCAGCTTGCCCACAAAACCTACTGAGTGACCTTGGGTAAGTCACATGCTCTCAGCCTCAGGAGAAGGCAATGACAAACCTCCTCTGAACAAATCTTGCCAAGAAAAGCAGATGATGTCCTTAGGGTTGCCATAAGTGGGAAATAACTTGAAGGCCTACAACAACAACAACAAGAAGAAAAATTGGTAGCATGAGTTTTCATAGAATTGAGCCTACTTCCTCAGATGCCAAAGGAATTTAGGCTGACTTCATTGCTTCTGAAGTTCTAATGGTCAGCTCAAATGATGTTGTTCCACAAAGCTTTTAGTCCTTCAGACCATTCTGGCTGTTTTGTTTGGTTTTAAACTATTTTTAAGGAGTGCTTTTAGTTTGTTTTTAAAAGATTTATCTATGTATTGTTTTAAATGTTTCATCCATTGTACAATGACTCAGGGGCCCTATTGGACTGAGAGAGGATATATAAATCTTATCTATTTTATCAATCAATATCTTGATGCAGGGCTGGAAACTCATGTCCTTTCAGATATTGGACTGCAACTCCCATAAGTAAGGGTCTTGACAGACTGCCAGAAATAATGCAGCTTGAGTCCACTTTAATTGCCCTGGCTCAATGTTAGGGAATATTGGGAACTGTAGTTTATTGTGGCACCAAAGCTCTCTAACAGAGAAGGCTCAATGTCTCAGAAAAAACTACAGTTCCCATGATTCCTTAGTACTGAGCCAGAGCAGTTAAAGTGGACTCAAGCTGCATTATTTCTGGCAGTCTGTAAAGGCCCTAAGAAATGATGGCTGTTGCAGTCCAGGGCACTAAATGCTATTTGCAAAATAGTTTCAGCACCTTGGACAGCTATTTTACAGTTTGGACAAAATCCCATAGAGGATTCAGCCCCTCACTGATATAAAACTTACCTGGTGCTATGAGTTGCTTTTATTCCTGCCCCAAACAGCCCTCCTTTTCCATCTATGGAGTTTTATTTCTGAGCTCAAGGCTGCATGAAAACTCAGCCTGCAACAGTGAGGGTATGGGGTGCCCCATGAGCACCAAGCTCCAACCAGACCTTCAGTTCTGATGCTACAGCATCCGCTTCCCCATCCTTGCACAGATGCTTTAGCCTATGTAGACAAGCCCAGGTGGTTGTAATATCCTCTAACACATGTACTGCTTTGCATGTAGACCTACAAAAATGATTAGCATGCTTGTCCATACATATTTTGTTTGAAACCTAAAGGAAGAACCAGTTTTAAGCAAAGATTCTCTGACTGTTTGCATGAAAGCCATTCATACCACAAAGCAGGCAAGCAGTTACTTACAGATTTGTGTTGTTGTGTCCTTTCCCTCCCTCCCTCCTCATGCTAATTCATCTCAAGTTTTAACCTTCTGGAAATTATGTGACTTAGTTTGAAAATGATTCTAAACTAGATCCACACACAATCTCCTTTTACATAATCGTCATGTTCTGGTAGCTAGACATATATTTTCATCTTTTCTGTGCTGTCAGAAGAGCTCTGCAAATGGACTCAGATCCAGAGTCCTGCTAATTGTTCAGGTTTGCTTTCTTAATTGGAGGGAAGATTGTGGAACCATTTATTACAGATGTGCAAAGTGGAAGTAAGCTTCTCCTAGATGGATTTATATTTTGTTTTTATCAGGTATGACCCCTACGTTGCAAAGCTTTTAAATGCCTACACAAGTTGCAGGACAGCTGAGATTTGGGCCCAAAGCTTGATGTTTGATCATTTATTTCCTCTTATGTCTCTGCCCTTCTTTCCCAGCACTTAATTCGGTTTCCCAGGGACACCTATAGTTAACGAGAGTCAGACGGGGAGACAGAGCCCATGGCTGGAAACTTGTATGAGCTGATTTTTTTAAAAAAAATAATAATAATCTTGTACTCTCTGTGATGGCTCCCGTCCCATAATATATTCCAGCAGTGCTCAAACGCTCCTACATTGCCCTAGGGAATCAAAGCTCAAAGTAACCTCCTACTGGTTCTGTCAGGTGCTTGGAACATGCTTTTCTTTCTGTGCTTGCAGACTTTAGTTTGACCAGGATCAAACTTTTGGTGTGCTAGCTTTGAGTTTCCTATAAACATGCTGTTTGAAGTTATCTCACATTGTGGTATAGGTTTTGTCATAGCTTTTTAAGGACTCTTTTTTTATTTTGCAATATACAAACCAGTTATAATACCTTTTCCTTCAGATGTTTAAATAATAAATTTAGTGTGTGAGTCAAAATACTGTCCCTGATAAATGTGTCATCAGTTCTTGTTGACTTTATTCGAATCTCAGCCTTTCATTGATGGTTCTGATCCTATTTCGGCTTGGCTCTCTTATGGTGATTCTCTTGTCCCAGATGTCATCTAATTTTGTTCTTTGTTTCACATCTTGGCATATGGTAAATTCTAAGGTGTAGGCCAGTAACTTCCCCAGTAACTCTAGGAGAAATGAGATGACCAGGCCTGGAGAATCAAGGATCCAGCTTTATTTAGGTAAAGAAATGCATTTCTGTCTCTCACAATGACAAACAAGAATCTGAAGAGATGGGAGCATGGCATTTCCTATAGGTACTCTTAGAAGAGTCCAAAATGGTAGGCAGCTGTGCTGATCCATATCAACAAACCAATTTCAACAGTTTCCTTGTCTACTAGGAGGATCTGGTTTGTCAAAATGATGGGTCTTAATTGTCCACTCAAGACAAAGCCATTCCAAAATATTTTGCATTACAACAGAGACAGCTTACTAAAGTGGCTGAGAATCTGTTCAAAGGATTGCCAGGAATTGTTCCAGTCCATTCTGGACTGATATGGTGGCTATACTGAGTGAGCCTTGTTGCCCTGCAGATATATGTGAAATATTCACAGTTCTGGACTTATTCTACACAAAATTCACACATTATTTTTATACAGACAACAGTATTTTCTATACAAGAAATGCTGTTCTCTGCTGTGAAAAGGCTGTTTTCTGCATAGATGGTGGTGGTGGTGGTGGTAGGAGGGTTTCAGCAAAGAAAGAAAGAAAGAAAGAAAGAAAGAAAGAAAGAAAGACATGTTTGAATTTTACATGGGATCCAAATTGCCAATATTCTTGTCAGTCCAGGATTATCCTTACTGCGGTTTACTGACATTCAAGAAACATATTTTGCTTTGATTTTAAGCAAATATTTTTGAATCCCCCCCCACTCATTTTCATAGGTGAGGAGCCACTAATAAAAAGCCCTTTCTGTAGTAGCTAGCCAGTGTATCTCATTCAGCATGGACACTGAGACAGTGGTAGCTACTTGCTACCAGATAAGTAAAGCTGTTAAAACACTCCAGGTATTAGCTTGTAAAAGAGGCAGCATAGCGTAGTGCAGGGGTAGGCAACCTTTCCCTTTAAGGGCCGAGGGACTATAGCTCCCAGAATCCCAGGAGCTATTGGCCAACATGGGACTATTGGCCAATATGGCTGAGGCTTCTGGGAGCTGAAGTCCCTCGGCCCTTAAAGGGGAAAGGTTGCCTACCCCTGGCGTAGTGGGTTGAGTGTTAAACTGAGACTCTAGAGACCAAGGTTCAGTTCACAGCTCAGCCATGAAACCCATGGTAATCTTGGGTATGTCACAGGCTCTCAGCTTCAGGGGAAGGCCATGACAAACCTCCTCTGAACAAATCTTGCCAAGAAAACTCTATGATAGGTTCCCTTTAGGGTCACCATAAGTCAGAAGCGACTTGAAGGCACACAGCAGCAGCAACAACAATTAGCCTGCAATCTGGGGGAGCTATTCAAAGTATTGAACCCTAATTCCAAAATAGTCTAAAACTTGGAGCAGATTCACTGACTCAGTGATATGGTAGCTGATACGAACCACTGATGATTAGTTGTACTGTTGCTGATAATGGGGTTTTAACAAGTACATTCTGAATAATCTGATATATAGAAAGTCATTTCTATATAAGTCATATATAGAAAGTCATTTCTCAGTGGCAGAAATGCAATGGGGGGGGGGGGGAGACTTTCTAGATGCAATTCTTCCAGATCTCTAGGGCTTTCCCAAGACATTTGCTACCTGAGGCCAAATGCAAGGTAATGCCCCTTTCTATTCCATGCCTAGAAGCTGGGTAGATTGATAGTTAAATCTTGTTCCAACACTGGCAATGGAACAGAGGTTTCTGTCAATGGAACAGAGTGGCAGGATAGCTTTGGGGATGCAACACAGG